TCAGCAGAAATCCCAGACCCAGCTGTTGATCCTGAACTTTTTGAAATTATAAAATCATGCATGATACATGGACCATGTGGAATTTTAAATCCCAATTCTCCCTGCATGAAAGATGGTAAATGCACAAAAAAATTTCCTAAGGAATTTAATCCCCACACTGTTGCAATTTTTAATGGATATCCACGCTATAGGCGCGTCGATAATGGAAGAATTGTAAATATAAAAGGTAATCAAGTTGACAACCGTTGGGTTGTACCTTATAACCCATGGCTTTCTAAAAAATATCAAGCACACATAAATGTTGAAGCCTGCATGACCATAAAGTCAGTTAAGTATTTATATAAGTACATTTACAAAGGGCATGACTGTGCCAATGTGGTGATAAATGAGCAAGTTAACCATGATGAAATAAACACGTTTTTAAATTGTCGCTATGTCTCTGCTCCAGAAGCATTGTGGCGAATATTTGAGTATTCTTTAAGTGATATGTCACATAACATCATTCGACTTCAGGTTCATCTGCCAGATAATCAGATGATATATTTTGTAGAAGGCGAAGAACAGGCAGCTTTAGACCGTGCAGCACAGCGTGACACTCACCTAACTGCATGGTTTAAATTAAATGTTGAAAATGAACAAGCCCGACACTATCCATATGTTGAAATTCCTTACCACTTTGTTTTTGATAGCAAACATTGTAAATGGAAAGTTAGGCAAAGAGGTAGCAATAAGGTGATTGTTAGGATGTATATAGTGAGTCCAATAGGTGAAATATTTTATCTTAGAATGTTACTTTTGCATGTTAGAGGTGCAGTTTCTTTTGAAGATTTGCGTACTGTTAATGGTACAGTTTTTAATACATTCCGAGAAGCATGTTCTCAATTAGGTCTGTTACAAGACGACGCTGAATGGAGAAATACATTAACTGAGGCTGCTGCAACTCGGTTGCCAAATCAAATTAGACAGTTGTTTTCCATTATTTTGACTTTCTGTGAACCTGATGATCCATTAAATCTTTGGAATGCCTTTAAAGATTTTATGATGGAGGATTACATTCACCATTCCATGCCACCAATAATTGCTGAGCAGGCAGCTTTGCGTCAAATTGAATCTATAATTAATCAGAATGGTAAGACTTTAGCTGATGTTAATCTTCCTACTTTAGATGAGTTTTTAGATTATGTCCCACAAAATGAAGAGGAAGATGTTCAGGTTTTAATTGATGAAGCAAATAGGGTTAGATCATTGTTAAATGATAATCAGCGTCAAATTGCTGATGCTATCCTTTCTGCTCTTAGTGAGCAACCTAACAATGAAAACAAGCAGTCTAGATTGTTTTTTATGGATGGCCCTGCAGGTTGTGGTAAAACATTTACATACAATTATTTAATCGCTGAAACCAGCAGTAGACATATTATAACTGCAACAGCTGCATGGACAGGAATAGCTGCAACTCTTTTAAAAAAAGGATGTACACTTCATGGTTTGTTCAAACTTCCTGTGCCGATTTTGGAAAATAGCACATGCAATGTAACTCCAAATTCTATACACGGAAAATTATTTACTAGATGAGGCATCCATGATACCTAAACATGCTTTAAATGCCATTGATAAGTTACTTCAAGACGTTTGCAATAACAAGTTTCCTTTCGGTGGTAAAGTTATTCTTATGGGTGGGAATTTTAGGCAAATACTTCCGGTTGTAAAGAGAGGGCAACCAGCTGATATTGTTGAAGCCTGTATAAAATGTTCTCAACATTGGCAATATGTTCAGCGATTTTCATTAACAGAAAATATGATATGATTTTTTTGATTAAATACTTATAATATTTTGTCAATAATTGATAACAACTACCATAAATATATAAACAATACTTAGTTGAAAATATTACATTAATTTATAACTTTAGTTTAAGTTTTTAATAAAACTATGTTATCTTAACACAATGCAATATATGGTAGAATATAATAGATTATAGTATTATGCTCTGTATTATTTGCTTACACTTTATTTTAGATAAGTTTAAAAAAGAAACTTCAACTTTTATTATATTAGGCATCATTTTTACACACTCCTTTGATGCCTAATTATGTCTAATAATTTAAGAAATGAAATTATTAGACTTCGTCAAAATGAAAGAAGGCAGGCTAGGCGAGCTGAGATAAACCGCCGTCGAAATGAAAGAGATGAGCCCAGGCGAGCTGAGATAAATCGTCGTCGAATTGAAAGAGATGAGCCCCGGCGAGCTGAAATAAATTGTAATCAAAATGAAAGAAATCAGGCTAGGCGAGAACTTAATAGGTATAATATGCATCGCATAGCAAGAAATAATATTGCTATAGAGAGTAACTACCTCGGAGAATTAAACCATAATTGTCAGTATTGCAGTGCAAAGAAGTTTTTAAATGAAACTCATTTTTTGTGCTGCCATTCAGGAAAAGTTGCATTAGCTCCTCTTTCTCTTTATCCGCCATTGTTGACTGGTTTAATGACAGGAAACCATGTTGATCATGCTGTAAATCAAAATTTTTTTAAACACATAAGGAGTTATAATTCCTCTTTATCTTTTGCTTCCTTCACTGCCGAAATAGCTCCTCCCTCAAATAATGGCCCTTTCTGTTTTAGGGTCTGTGGGCAAATTTTGCATCGTGTTGGAAATTTAAGGCCTGCAGAAGGTTGTCTGCCCAAATATTGTCAGCTGTATATCTATGATCCTAATGCAGCAGTGTCATTCAGAATAGAACAACCTGGTAATGATGGTTGTATACATGAGTTAATGCAACTCTTGCAAACATTAATTAATCAAGAAAACCCATTTGCTCTTGCATTTAAAAACATGGCAGAAGTAGAGGATGAAGAAATCCGCCAAGCAGCTTTAGAAGGTAGACCAACCTCTGTTGTAAGAATGTCTTTCCTTGAAGGTCATGATAGACGTCGATACAATCTTCCTTCCCATGAGGAAGTTGCTACTGTGTTTGTGGGAGATGATGGTGCTCCACCTGCATCCAGGGAAATTGTTATATACCCTCGAGGTCAGCCTTTAAGAACAATTTCGTCTATGTCTGCAAATTTGGATCCTTTGGTATATCCAATATTCTTCCCGAGAGGTGATGCTGGATGGCACAATCAACTAGAGCACAACCCTGACCGTGCAACCCGTGTTAGAAACCATGTTACTTTGTCTCAGTATTATAATTATAGGCTTGCTGTTAGACAAACTTTTAGTCCTGTATTCTATGGTAAGAAACTTTTTCAGCAATATGTTGTTGATGCATATGTCAAAGTTGAGGGACAGCGCCTTGCTTTTATTAGAAATAACCAAAACAAACTTAGAAGTGAGCAATATGATGCATTGCATGAACATGTAATTAATCGTGCTAATGATCTTAATGTAAGACCAGGCCGTGTTGTTATATTGCCTTCTTCATATGTTGGTAGTCCAAGAGCATTAAAAGAAAACATTGAAGATGCGATGGCAGTCATAAAGAAATATGGTAAACCAGATCTATTCATTACTTTTACCTGCAATCCAAAATGGAGAGAAATAGTAGAAAATTTAAACCCAGGCCAAACTGCTAATGACAGACCTGATTTAGTTTGTCGGGTATTTAAAATGAAACTTAAATTTTTCTTAGAGGATATTTTTAAGCATGGAGTCTTAGGCAAAGTTGTAAGTCATGTGCAGGTTATTGAGTTTCAAAAGCGTGGTTTGCCACATGTACATATTTTATTGCACTTTGTAAATGCTGATAAGCTAGAAACAGCAGAAGATATTGATAGTTTGATATCAGCAGAAATCCCAGACCCAGCTGTTGATCCTGAACTTTTTGAAATTATAAAATCATGCATGATACATGGACCATGTGGAATTTTAAATCCCAATTCTCCCTGCATGAAAGATGGTAAATGCACAAAAAAATTTCCTAAGGAATTTAATCCCCACACTGTTGCAATTTTTAATGGATATCCACGCTATAGGCGCGTCGATAATGGAAGAATTGTAAATATAAAAGGTAATCAAAAAAATATAAAAGGTAATCAAAAAAAAAAATGAACAAGCCCGACACTATCCATATGTTGAAATTCCTTACCACTTTGTTTTTGATAGCAAACATTGTAAATGGAAAGTTAGGCAAAGAGGTAGCAATAAGGTGATTGTTAGGATGTATATAGTGAGTCCAATAGGTGAAATATTTTATCTTAGAATGTTACTTTTGCATGTTAGAGGTGCAGTTTCTTTTGAAGATTTGCGTACTGTTAATGGTACAGTTTTTAATACATTCCGAGAAGCATGTTCTCAATTAGGTCTGTTACAAGACGACGCTGAATGGAGAAATACATTAACTGAGGCTGCTGCAACTCGGTTGCCAAATCAAATTAGACAGTTGTTTTCCATTATTTTGACTTTCTGTGAACCTGATGATCCATTAAATCTTTGGAATGCCTTTAAAGACTTTATGATGGAGGATTACATTCACCATTCCATGCCACCAATAATTGCTGAGCAGGCAGCTTTGCGTCAAATTGAATCTATAATTAATCAGAATGGTAAGACTTTAGCTGATGTTAATCTTCCTACTTTAGATGAGTTTTTAGATTATGTCCCACAAAATGAAGAGGAAGATGTTCAGGTTTTAATTGATGAAGCAAATAGGGTTAGATCATTGTTAAATGATAATCAGCGTCAAATTGCTGATGCTATCCTTTCTGCTCTTAGTGAGCAACCTAACAATGAAAACAAGCAGTCTAGATTGTTTTTTATGGATGGCCCTGCAGGTTGTGGTAAAACATTTACATACAATTATTTAATCGCTGAAACCAGCAGTAGACATATTATAACTGCAACAGCTGCATGGACAGGAATAGCTGCAACTCTTTTAAAAAAAAGGATGTACACTTCATGGTTTGTTCAAACTTCCTGTGCCGATTTTGGAAATTAGCACATGCAATGTAACTCCAAATTCTATACACGGAAAATTATTTACTAGATGAGGCATCCATGATACCTAAACATGCTTTAAATGCCATTGATAAGTTACTTCAAGACGTTTGCAATAACAAGTTTCCTTTCGGTGGTAAAGTTATTCTTATGGGTGGGAATTTTAGGCAAATACTTCCGGTTGTAAAGAGAGGGCAACCAGCTGATATTGTTGAAGCCTGTATAAAATGTTCTCAACATTGGCAATATGTTCAGCGATTTTCATTAACAGAAAATATGAGGGTTCAGGCCGAAGAAGAGGAATTCTCTCAATGGCTTTTAAAACTTGGTAGTGGAACATTACCTTTAAAAGCAGATGGTTCCTTTCGCGGGTGCATTGAGATTCCTGAGCAATGCTTGCTTGGAGAAAATGAATCTTTAGTAGACAAGATTTTTGGAGTTGCAGATAAAGATGATTATGCTAAACGTGCCATTTTGACACCCAATAATGTTGATTCTTTAGCAATAAATGAAGAAGTTTTGGACCGTTTACCAGGTGGCGTTAAGGTTTATTTAAGTGCTGATACTATTGAAACAGATGATCTTAACGAAATCAATAATTTTCCTGTTGAGAGAACAGTCTTACTCCATCAGGAATGCCTGTTCATTGCCTAAAGCTAAAAATTGGTGCTGTTATAATGTTACTTCGAAATTTAGATCTAAAAGCTGGACTTTGCAATGGTACCCGATTGATAGTGCGTGCTCTACAAAATAATTACATTGATGGGCAAGTTCTAACAGGTGTTTCAGTTGGCAAGAGGGTATTTGTCCCTCGGGTTCAGTTAACACAATCTGATTCAAATTTACCTTTTACTCTTAAGCGTCGTCAATTTCCTGTAAGATTAGCATACTCAATGACCATAAATAAAAGTCAAGGTCAAACTTTTGACAAAGTTGGTATTTATCTCAAAAACCCTTGCTTTTCACATGGTCAACTCTATGTTGCATGTTCAAGAACAAGATCGTTTAATACCTTATTTTTTAAAATTGATGAGCATTCATTACAAGGTATGTCATTTAACAAATGCTACACAAACAATGTTGTATTTACTAATGTACTAAATCTATAAATAATTAATTTTTTACAATTAAACTCCTCATTTCTTATAAATATTTTAACTGTAGTTTAAAGTATTTTTGTGTGTTGCTTGATGCAGTAATGTGTGATATTTATTATGTGTTTAAATATGTGTTAAGGTTATATTTTGTAAGTGTTTATGTGTAACTAATGTGTAAATGACTGTTATATGTGAAGTGTATTTTTTATGTTATCTGTTTATAGTTTGTGAGTTGTTATTATGTTGTTTTCATGGTTTCAAAGTGGTGTGACTTGGCTTTGTTTATGGCAAGAGTGTTGTCCTTGCTAGCCAAGCGGTGTACTTTGAATAATGTGACTTGGCTTTGTTTATGGCAAGAGTGTTGTCCTTGCTAGCCAAGTGATGTACAGACATGAAACACATAATAAAATCTGTTTGTAATCACAAAATGTGTACTTATAAATATGTTATATTTTGTAAGTATTTATGTGTAATTAATGTGTAAATGGCTGTTACATATGAAGTGTATTTTTTGTTATGTTATCTGTTTATAGTTTGTGAGTTGTTATTATGTTGTTTTCATGGTTTCAAAGTGGTGTGACTTGGCTTTGTTTATGGCAAGAGTGTTGTCCTTGCTAGCCAAGCGGTGTACTTTGAATAATGTGACTTGGCTTTGTTTATGGCAAGAGTGTTGTCCTTGCTAGCCAAGCGGCGTACTGACATGAAACACATAATAAAATCTATTTGTAATCACAAAATGTGTACTTGCAAGTATGTTATGCTGTTAGTAAATAAAGTATTTACAATAAAGTCTGGATAACTCAATAAATCAACTTAAATAAATCAAACTAATTTTAAAATTCCAGTTGAGCGATTGTTTATGGATCATACTACCACTAACTGAAATATTTTCTAATAAGCTAATTGCTGGATCCTTTGGTGGTTTAAGTTATTGAGTCTTTACTGTAAGATTTTGTGCTATTTATTATTGATGTTTGTGATGTTACTGTTGTGATGTTTTGTGTTGATAGACGACTTGGCTTACCTTCACGTCGGTGTCTATCGTTAAAAATGATTATAGGGTTGTTTCATACTGAAACTGACTATATATAATCATTCACTAAAAGCCAAGCATTCAATTTTTATATTAAACTGTAAGGGTTTATCTTTTTTTGATTATTTTTAGTGTGCTTTTTTTGAAAAGAGTTTATAATCGAAACTTGCAACAAAAAATCTTGAAACCTTTACACAAAACCTATTCACACAAAAAAAACAATCTCAAAGTAAGTTTCTTATTTGATATCGCCTTGGTCACACTTTTGAGTTTTTAAATAAAAGAGTACATTAATGTGTTATGTTTTCAATAATTTTGTTTTATTTTAGTTCGAATGCCTTCTCTTAATGTTGATCGTTTTTTAACATCCAAAGGGAAGTTTTGTTAATCTTTATACCATTTACTAAAAGATATATTATAGGGAAACAAATCAAATTGATTTTATAAAGTACTTCTGATACTTTTTATGTTATATATAATAGATATTGTAAAATTTAAAAAAAAAAAATTTATTTTTTTAATTTTATCTCAAGAAAAATGTTTTTTGTTTCTCACACAAATTTGTAAATTTTTTCTCTTTGGAATTATAGTATTTGATGGATACATTGCTCATTTTGCTTTTTTTATATATATCTCCGTTATATATGAATGGAAACCGTTAATACTTTTATTACCATGGTAATTACAGATCTAGATAGTTCCATTCCCATTAAGTATTTTACAAATTTTCGGTACAAATAATAGCTATAGTAGTTTAATAATTTGCTAATTTATAAACATTTAGAAAAATTTGTTGCGAGTTTATTGTAGAAAATTTGCTTTTCAAACAAATAGAGCTAATTTTTGACATAATTAGGATTCGTCACCTGATTCTTTGTCAAATACTTCTCCTTTTTAAATAGGAAAGGTTAAATTTTATAAAAAAGTTTGCCAAAACACTGGGAGAAATGTCACGTAATTGGTAACTATGTTAAATACACTTTTGTTAGGTCCACGTAATTTTCGAATCTGCTCATCACTACGTTAGATGGCGTTATTTCTTTAAAATACCTTAAAAATCTTCAATTCAAAGTTTTTGTTTCGAATCATCAAAATATTGGCATATGATATAAATATACGATTCTAATAAACCAAAAGTATGTGGAAAAATTGCGCATACTTAGGCATCATAAAAACTTAATTCACACCAACCATTTACTTCGATATTTTTTAGTGTATGGCAGAAAAATAAATTACGAATTGTCTTAGATAAATAAAGTTACCGGACCTTTATTACTTAATCCATAAACAATTATTGTTTCATTCGATTTAACATCACAATAAAAAACAAAGCTTTTTCTATTTATTTTCGAAAAACGTTTTACAGGAAACCGAGTTCTTTTGTAGCATTTTAGTTAGAGTTATAGAAAAATCTATAACTCTTATTTTGTTAAGTAAAAAAAAAATCTTATGCTCTTCTAATTTTAGTCACCAATAACAACTATGTTAGGAATAGTAGAAAATGTTATGTGTGGTAGAGAAACTGTTTTAGTGTGGTGTTGTAGGAGTACTGCGGGTCTAAGAAACTTTGTTTTCATCGATAAATTATTCTATTTGTCTATTAAAACAGTATGAAAACTTTCCAGTATTTATATTTGATGTCTTTTTTTCATTTTATATTATAATTGTAATTTAAGTTTAAAAAAGCAGCAAAAACAACTTGAAAAGAACTATCGCACAATGACTCGCTTAAACACAGGATTCCAATTTCCTGATATACATGGAAATGCTGATATTGCTTTCACTATATTGTCTCTTTGTAATGTGTAACATCATTTTTACTTAGGTTTGCCAAATGACCGGCTTTTACAGAGTAGAATATAGTCCCAAACATATACAGTTCAGTTCTTTTACTGCTTTCTTCTTCATAAAAGCCGGACGTCTTGCAACCCTTGAATTTCCCCTTCTTTTTGTTTGCATAAATTACATAATTCTCTTAATTATAAATACTCCAAATCCGATTTTCGAACAGCGTATTTTAAAATCTAAAGAAATATAAGCGATTAAAGATTACATTTTGCAAGCCAACTGGATGCTTAAACAACTCAAAAGACAGCCACGCGCTCATTATAGCTCTCTTATAGTTTTAGAATCTGAGTGAGTTACTGTTTTGAATATCTAAAATCTTCAAATTAAGTTTTTATGATTTTAAGTTAAATTAGACTTAAGAATATGTGTAAGAATTGAGAATAAATATTTACTTTTTATTTTAGAAATGAACACACAAGAAAATTTAAACGATATGTATTTATTGCATATGTGTGTTAGTGCTATATGCGCTTATATTAGATATTATATCTATATATCTATATATATCTAATATATGCGTATACAGCACAAACGCTATACTTTATTTAGTACGCATATATAAATATATAAATATAAATAGACAAACAATTTACACTCTTATAAACAGTGTTGGGTTAACTGATAGACAAAATAAGCACTGCTATCATATTTTATTTATTGGAAATAAATAAAAATATCAAGTAATTCTCTTTTTAGACGATGATGGTGACTTTTTTAGAAGTAAGTAAACTATAATTTCTTTAGAAGTAAACAATTTTTATTTATATAAAGTGATAGTTATAAAAAATTTATTTCAAGTATGGAGAAATCAGTAGCATATTTTTTATCAAATATTTGTATACGAATAGTAATTTGATTGTTGGTAATAGTTATATAGTTATATACACGCAGCTATTTAATAGTGAAATTTCATTATTATATGTAAAATTCAAATCTTGAAATAAGAAAAAAATCTTTATGTGTTTTTCAACTAGAAACTTGGAATTTATTTTCTAGACCAGATGTTGTGATTATTATATTTTCTAGACTAGATGTAGTGCTTTATCATATGATATGCTAAATGTATATATTGTATTGTGTGTATATCTTAGATGCGCAGGAGATAGTGGCAGAAGAGACAGTGTCTTTTCTGCCTTATTTGAAAGAATTCTTAGATAATCAAAGTTAGCATTTTCTATTTTTTCTTTTTTACTTCAGTTTTTTCGAAGTTTATGTTACAGTAAATAAATTTATGAACTAATCTTTCATACATTTTGTTTATTTAGAAAATTTAGAAAGTAGAGTTAGTAAGCAAAATTTCATTATATTACTTTTATGTATATTAAATAAGAAATAATGAGGTTGGCTTTAGTAATTTGTTCATCTATTTAGAAAAATTAGAAGATTTACAAAAGTCCATAGGTGAGTAAAATTGCTTTTATGTTTATTATACACCCTAATTATTTATGTACATCTAATATTAAATGCGTTTTTTCAATTTGAGATTAGTTTTGGACTTTGTACTTTTTGGTCAATTTTTTTAGATATCATTTTAAACTACATTTGTAAGTAACTATATTATGTTTTATGTCTCATAAAAGTTTTAATAAATAATATAATGTAATCACTTATATAGTGACAAATCCAACTTCCTCAGTAACGTATGTTGTTGTACTCACTTATACTTGACTTAATTTATGGATTAATTGGTTTTATTGCATTTTTAATTTTCTTTTATTTATCTCTAGCTGCTGCTTCTTCTGTTACAAGTAAGTTGTTCTATTCACTTATACTTGACTTAATTTATGGATTAATTGGTTTTATTGCATTTTTAATTTTCTTTTATTTATCTCTAGCTGCTGCTTCTTCTGTTACAAGTAAGTTGTTCTATTCATATATACTTGACTTAAATTGGATTAATTGGTTTTATTGCATTTTTAACTTTCTTTTATTTATCTCTAGCTGCTTCTTCTGTTATAAGTAAGTCACTTTTACTTAACTTATTACATTGATTGATTGTTTTTATTGCATTTTTAATTTTCTTTTATTTATCTCTAGCTGCTGCTTCTTCTGTTACAAGTAAGTTGTTCTATTCACTTATACTTGACTTAATTTATGGATTAATTGGTTTTATTGCATTTTTAATTTTCTTTTATTTATCTCTAGCTGCTGCTTTTTCTGTTACAAGTAAGTTGTTATATTCACCTTTACTTGACTTATTACATTGATTGATTGCTTTTATTGTACCTTTTGTTTTTTAATATAGCTACAAATGTGCTTTCCAGTTTAATTAGTTAATGTAATAAGTCAAGTATTAGTGAGTAAAATAAATAAGTTGTTGTGCTCACTTGTACTTAATTTATTACATTATTTGCTTTTATTGTTTTTTTACAGTAGATTTTTTGTAAGTATTACCTTGGTACATAGTTGTATTTATATATAATTTTTTTTTCAGGCTCGAAGTCATGGGAAGAATTCAGAAAGTATCGCTCCCAGCATCCAGGCCCTCTATCTATGAGGGCCTTCCATCGCTGGTGTTTGTATGGGGACGACCATCCCTCCTTTAGATGGAGGGATGGCACCCCATACAACACGGGGAATAGAGCGGATGCTGGGAGGAGAAGACAACGTGGCGCAAAAGTTGTCAATAATTTTTTTACATATTAAAATGTAAAGAAATTGACAACTTTTGAGCCACTTCATTTTTTTTTTTGTAATATATTTTTGTAAATTTATTTTTGTGTTGTTTTTTATTTTTCCCATGAATGTTAAATGTTATCAAAGTAAATCATTTAAATAAAGACACCTTTATCAACAATGCTCATTAACTAGAAATAAAAGTCACGGTCATACATTTGATAAAGTTAATGTTAATCTCAAAGGGATTTGGTTTTCACACAATCAAATTCTATCTAGCACCTTCCAGAACTAAGAATATAAGTGTGTGGTGTCAGTAGTTTAAAATATGTATAATAAACTCAGAATAACTCAATAACCCTCAACAAAACTATGAACTAATTTTTAAATTCAAGTTGAGCTTTTTTATTTATTAATACCTCCCCTCCCAATAACTCTAATTTTCCTTAAAAAACTAATTTTTTTGTCCTTTGGAGGTGGTTCTGCTATTTAATTAATTGTTGTGATGTTTTATGCAAATAGATTTAGCTCACATTCATGTTGGTCTGTCAGGGTTATGTAAAAATAAAAAAGTAAGTTTCTTATTCGCATTTTTGAGTTTTCAAAAGTATTGATTGCATGACATGTTAATTTGTAATTAATGTGTATGATTATGATTATGCGTTTAAATAACTTTGTTCCATTTTTAGTTCCGTTTCTTATGGCTGACTTGATTATGGCTTACCTAAAGCTTAATATTTATGAAACAATGATTCAATTTAAATTGTATTATAAGTAGCTCTGTTGAATAAATTATTTTTTTGTAATTTGTACTAAAGGTTATATTTTTATTTTATATCAAGAAAAGTATGTTTTTAAGTAAATATCTATACTTTTTTATTTTGGGATTTATTGGTTTAAATGGATATAAAAATCATTTTTGCTTTGTCTTTCATATTTCTTTTTATTATATATGAATAGGAACCATTTATGCTTTAATCACCATTAGCACTCGAAGTTTCCATTTGCATTAAGTATCGATTTTTGGCACACACAACAGGTTTAATAACTTAGGCAGTAAAAACAGCTTGAATGACTTGTTAAGAGTCTTTAAAGAAACGCTTTTACGAAAAGCATTAAATAGATAAAGCTAACTTATTTAAAATAATAAGTCTTTAACCCGTTTTTCTATATCCAAATTTACTTTTTAAATAAATGTTGATGAAAGGGTAAAATATCGTTATAGCCTACGTTAATTTTAAATTCTTTTTAAATTAAAGGAAAGAGTTTTGATACTTATTTAAATAGGGTTAATAAAATATTTTAAATTATATTATATATATTATAATTAAGAAATTATTAAACTAAATTAAATAAGATTTTTAGATGAAACAGTAAAAATAATTGTTTAAAATACGTGCGTGCAAATAATTCCTACAAATACTAAACGTAAAATAACGCTTACAAACACCAAAAGTATGTTTGCAGTGAATAAAGTTAAGTTCAAAGATAAATAGAAAGAAATGTTTAAAACTGTTTCAATGATAACATTTATTTTTAATTACTTATGTTGTAAGTTGGGATGAAAAAAAAAAGTCACTAGAGTATGAACTCCCGGGGTAAGATGACTATAAATGTCTAAGTGTTGCGCGTCTACCAATTAGCCCATAAACGTATTTTCTATTTAAATTTAAGATTATTTATGACGCATAAGAAGTGTAATTAAAAATTCAAAACCAAGTTTGCAACAACTGAGTTTAAATAAAATCTAATTAGATGTGTATATGTTATGAACGTTAACTAAGGCGTACTTTAACGGCGTCACGTGTTGAATGTTTTAGCATTTTTCTAAGTTCGTAGTCTTTTTTACGTTTTTTCTTATTAAAATTTTTATAATCGGCATAATATTAAAATCGTTTGAAGTTTTTAAAAGAACATTTTAACAGAAATGTTTTTGTCATATCAAAAAGTAAGTATAGTTTTTTATATGTACATTTTTAAACGGTTTTAAAAAAATATTGAGGTAAGGAATAAGTATAGAAAAGGTCGGTGTAGAATAGATTTACTAAGACCCTTAGTTTACGTCCGGATAGCTATAGATAAGTATAAAAATGGTCGGTTCAGTAAAGACCCGTATTTTACGGGTCACCCCAGCTAGTATTTTCTTTATTACCATGATTAGTGTCTAAAATTGAACGCATGGAACGCATTTCTGTTTCCAACCCACAAAGTTTTCTGTACATGGACTTCACTATAAATTGAATGCCTTCAACAGTATTGGGTTCAACATTTGCTTTCCGAATAAAGTTATTTATTTGGTCTATCTCAGTTTTTTGAGATGGTAAAGAAAAGGAAGAAGATGAATGCAGTAACGGTTGAACTTGTGAAACAGACTGCATTTCTGATGGAAACACTATCTGTGTAACTGGCAAGTCATCTACTTGATCCATTGAGGCAGAGACGGACAAAAAGTTCTAAACAAGATTAACAATGATTATAAATGCATTCACAATATTCTGATTATATTATACTTTTTTTTTTTTTTAATTAAAAAATGGTATCTAAAAAAACCAAATAAACCATAGAAATGAAACAAAAAAATATATTATTTTTACGAATGGGACAAAATTTTAAAATGTATACTGAATCGGAATCAGGAAGCTTTGGTGGCTCCCACAATTTTAATGATGGTAAAGGAGGTTCTTCAAAGATAATTTTTTTTTTCTCTTTCTGTTTTGTTGACTTAAAGGAGTTTTCTTGTGTTTTTTTTTTATGTATTAAAATCAATTTCTACTTCTGATTCTGCAGTAAGAATATGCTAAAGAAAATAACTTTTTCAATATATATACAATCATAGCTTTATACAATATACATATCATAGATCGTCCAGGCAATGTTTTAAAAAAACGGAAATTTGTTTGGGTAAAATACCCGGAAAATATTTTCTCTTATTTTCCTCTTATTTTTGCTTAAAGCTGAGTTTTTTCTATTTTTTTTTTTCAAACTTTTCTTTATTTTTTTAAGAGTTATGAGTGAAAAAGCTTATAAAACAAATAGATGTATTTAAACTTTTAAGTATAGAATATGTTTTAAATATCCAGCAAAAAAAAATTACAAAAAATTTCCAGAATTCTGGAAATATCCAAAAAAGGTTAATCCTTGACATATACAAAAATCTGTTACTAAAAAAGGACAAAAGAAATCATAATAAATACAGCTCATAATCAACTCAACTTTACCTAAGTTAAATACTCAACACATTTTATGCAATGCTTTGTGCATTGATTACAATAAAAATAATTTATTGAGTTAGTTTAAAAATACTCACATTTAAAGGTGGAATGCTCTGCCTTTTGTTTTTACCCACACAAGTTTGAGGAGTCCATTTTTAGGGGTAAATTTTTTTTTCAATACAAAGTTTTGCATTTTTTGAACAAGCGATTTTGTATCAATTCCAACTGAAACGTATAAAATAAAATAAAATACAATTTTGTAGATTAATTTACTTTTAAAAAATGTTACTACTGAAACACTCCTTATTTTTCAATTCCAACAGGTGTATAAAATACTTATCTGTAATATGCATGCCGCATTTACACAATCCTTATGTATTGCCTTTATTTGAAGATCGTCCTCCGTTAATGTTTGACCACGAGATCTCCAATCATCCATTGACCAATTTTTTAGCTTCTCTGGCATTATTATGTCACAATTTTTTAATTCTAGAACTTCACTGTCACAGTACAGATAAACAATATAATTCATCTGAAACAAAATATTTGTATAATGCAACATAAAATTTATACATTTATTATTTAGAAAATATGCAGATATTGAAGTTAAAATAGTATAAAGACTTCATACGAATGGATATATTTTTAAATCAACACAAAATGTTTACAAAATTTAAAAAAACTAATCAAGTCCTGTAAATATCTTTAAACATTAGTTTAATTTACAGACCAATGGGATAATTAAAAAGTAGTTTTCCCTACAAAAAAATCATAATACATTTTCGAACGGGTGTAACATTATAAACATGTGTGCAACTTTTCTGATAATATCCAATTCTAAGGACTTTTGATGAGTATGGAAATGTATACAGTGGCTTCACATAAGATAAAAGAATTCCAGATATATGTAAACTATGGAGACTTGTACTTGTGCATAAAACAATGGAACCATCAGCAATAACAAAAGCACA